TTCAGAGTTGAGGTTTTACATAGACACAGAGGAAAGACTGCAGTGATGTTTCTGCAGCAAAGGGCAGCTGTCAGCATAGACTGCGGGCAGCCGCTCTGAGGTGGCGACATGGCCAGAGCAGGGGAGGGAAGTGGGCCTGGTAGCGTGAGGGCTGGCTGACTTTTCAGGAATTTGCAGAATAAATATTAGTGTGACTGTGGGATAGTCCAAAAGGCACTGTTAGCCAGAGGGTGCACTGGGAAATTGAAAGAGGCATTTAACCAGCAAACGAAGAACAATGCATTGTTGTGATGTTCAAATTCATGAGACCGGACTCAAACACTGATTCTGCTACTCAAAAAAAAAGTCGCCATATCATCTTCTGATTTACATATTTTGTACGTGTTATGTTTTGTTTTATGGTAACCAAGTGTGATTTTTTAAGAATTCCTTAAATAGCTGTTTATTAGTCAGTTTTCTTAAGTCTATGGGTAAGATGATTTCAGCCAGATTTTAAGGCCCAGAGCCCGTAGTTTAATTCTGAAAAATTATATAGAAAATAAAGGTGAGAACAAGACTGTTTTTCTCAGTTTTGTAGCAATTCCAGTTGGTCATTTTTAAGTGTAAAGTAAAAAGGGAGTGATATGTATGTCTATTCCATCAGTAAGTGTTTTCTTCTCAGTAAGTTTCTGAGTGTGCCAGGTTGCTTGCTGCAGCTAAGGATCTGATTTTATTTATAGATTAATTTTGGAACATCATTGTTCAAGTGTATGCTGCTCACCTGGCACTGTGTGCTCCCTCCTCTCTCAACACACATTCATTCATCCATTCGTTAAACAAACATCTGTGGATAGACATTCATATCCAATTACCCAGAACTTCTGGGCAAAGTCCCTCCATCTTCTATCTTTTTTAAATTTAATTATAACTATATATAACATTATATTTGTTTCAAGTGTTCAATGTAATGATGCATTGTGTACATTGTGAAATGACCACCACTATAACTCTAGTTAACATCTGTCACCATACATAATTGCTAACTTTTTTCCTTGTGATGAGAACTTTAAAGACCTACCTCCTTACGAATTTTCAAATATTCAATACAGTCATCATGCTGTACATTACATCCCCGTGTCTTATTTTATAACTGAAAGTGGGGCCAAGCAAATAGAAATTTTAATCAGCCACTTATTTGCTGTGAGGTGAGGAATATAAATTCTGAGTCTGTTTCTTCATCTGTTAAATAGTAATGCTGCAATACTTCCTTAGTGTTATAAAAGGATTTCAAAATATTGCAGCCCTAGCCGGTTTGGCTCGGTGGATAGAGCATCAGTTTGTGGACCAAAGGGTCCCAGGTTCAGTTTCAGTCAAGGGCATGTACCTTGGTTCCAGGCTCTTCCTTGGCCTGTGCCCTGGCCAGGGCTTATGCAGGGGTCAACTAATTGATGTTTTTCTCACACCCATATTTCTCTCTGTCTTTCCTCTCTCTTTCATTCTCTCTAAAATATCAATGGAAAAATGTCCTCAGGTGAGGATTACAAAATAAAATTATTGCTTTTAGTTACCTAGCACAGAGTGTTGCACAAGACACATGCTCCATGATAGTCGTGATGATGAGTCCAGTGATGATGGCCTTGGGCAGAGACCATGGCGGCGTGCTTGTCTACTCTCTTGTAGAGACCACACAGTATTTAGTAATTCCTGAATAAATCTCCAAAATAATAGGAACGGAAGAAACAGCTAAGATAGGTTAAGAAATAGGAGCGGCAGAACAAATTGCAACAACCGACAAAGCCAGCCCGTGACCGCTGGCTTCATGGAAATTTCCAACAAACAAGCTGCATCAGGGTGGTTTTTCCTGTGAGGCATTATAGGGTGGGCTGCACTGATCACCCTTCACCGGACTAAGCCAAACCTTTGCTCTGCTTTTAAAAACACCGATTCTTGGGGAATTTTGCATGCAGTTCAATGAGTCATATAAAACTAAAGTATGTACTGCCCTAGAAACCCATGTTATGATTGAGTTGATTCATAAGCTGGCTCTCTACTTGAAAAAATTTAAGGGTAAAGAAACAGAACTTTTGTAAGTACCTAAAATGAGGTTTACTAAGAACTGCAAAGCATGGATGTAGTGTATGACAAGGTAGGGTCTAAAGAGGTCAGGCACATTCTATCCTGACATTTCTGAGGCACAAACTCCAAATGCCATCTAGTCCCAACCACCGAAGACAACCCTTACGAGAACTGGGAAAAGAGACATTGAGTCATACGTTGGAACAAATAATGATTTTTAAGACTCCCACAACATCCAGTGATGGAAAGGTTTCAGAAGTTGTGCAAATAAAATAATATCAAAGTTCATACTTCCCAAGGTCTTTTTCATGGTGATAAAAATAAAATCTTGCTGCCCTGGGGGGGGAAAAAATCATGCTTCCCTTCCTGTAAGTAATATCTACCTTCATTTATGTGAAGAATTGAAAGTCAACATGTGAATTGAAATAAGTTATTCTTTCCATAGCAATGTGTCTGATTTTCATTGACAATTGGAGAGGATGCAAAGTTCAAAACGTGTTCATTATTTCATTAAAATCAACTGCCCAGCCCCCTCCCTTTCTGGTTTTTGTTACATAAAACAATTCGGCTTTGTTGTTCATAATCCAGATCTCTTTAACCCTGAGCCCTCATATCCTCCGTGTTCTTGTCTGTTCTAATCTTTAGTTTCAAATCAAAGCAAAAGCCTTACTGCAGTTTTCATTTTATGCTAAGTTTAGATGAGGCAATCATGTGACATAACCTCCAAAAGGTTAGTACCATCTTGGACTGTATTAAGAGAAGTACTGTCTTCATAAAGTGAGAGATATTGGCCAGTGTTACTTTTGCAAAACAAAACAAACAAAATAACACCACACTTAAAAGCATTAAAGTATTATACCTCTTAAAAGATTTTAGGAATTCAACATAAAATGCCAATTTCTCCCATTCTGAGTTCAGAACCAGTTGAAAAATAAGACACAGGAAGCCAATAGAGGTTAAACTGTCAGCTTTATTTATCAACTAATTGGAAAAAATGACATTTGATCTATGGACCAAAGATTAATACTCAATGCTCATAAAGCCCTCCCTGCATTCCCGAACACACGCCCAGAGCCTACCTCAGCATCCAGGGAACTTCAGAGATGTGTCTGCCTGGGGCAGGGAACACTGGAGAAGGTGAAGCTTACAGTCCTTTGATAGAGTTGTTTTCCCCCAATTCACTCATCTGTCATCACCTGACCTCTGTAAGGCGTGTCAGGGGTGGGGCTAGAGGCCAGGAGTCTTATTCCAATGTTTCAACTCAGAAACATTGACCAATGAGGGGAGTTTCCTTCCCAACAGTACTCAATTCTAGACCCTTCATTAGTTAACTCAGAGCAGGCTGAGAGCATGACCAGGGCAGTGGGGACCTTCAAATCCTGTATAATAGTTGCAAGGACAAGACTATATGGAAACCACTGAACAGGTAGTTGACTTGCTTCTAGACATATATTCTACTTGCTTCCTTCACCATACCTGCTGCATCCTGTTCAATTATGAGAGACCATGTGACTAGTTCTGGCCAATGAAATGTGAGCAGAGCTGGTATGTGTCACCTGCGGGCTAAGGCAATGAAAACTCAGTTATTGGTTCTTCAGTCTCCCTTTCCCTCTTCTGCAATGACTGCAGAGGTCTCTACGCAGTGTAGAGAAAAGCCATATTTCTGTCTTCTGCCCAGTACAGTTACCTGAATAAGAAATATGCTTCTATTGTGCATAAGCTGCTATGTATTCGAGTCTATTATTACAACAGTTAATACTTTTTAAAAAAATTTCTGTAACTGCAATACTCATCAACTAAACCAACACACACAGACAAACATGCACACACACAACACCCCTACACTCAGTCACTCTGCATTGCTCACACCTACTCATATTTTAGGTCTGGGCCTAGATGCATCAGAAGCCATCCTTGAGTCACCCCATCCAAGTCTGGTTAAGTTGTTCTGACACTATTCTTTCTTCTCCTTTTACTCTTTACAATTCATTATTACATATTCATTTGTGTGTATATTTGAAGTCTGTGGCCACAGTTGAACCATAAGATCCAAGGAATCAGAAGCTTTTGTCCATTGCAATAACAGACATGGAGCTTGCACTATGCTTGGCAGATATCAGTCAGTGAATAAGTTTGAAAATGCAGAGGATGCTCAAATGAGTATGCCAAGGGAATACTTTCTTATTATGAGACCACAACTCTAGACCAAAATCATAAGAGCATTAAAATACAAACCATGGGGTGGTGTTGTTTTTTAACCTTTATTTATTGAGAATGCAATTCTGGGCTAAAGAGAGAACCTAAACTTCAAAGGAATGTTAACAAGCAGTAGAGTATAACAGTATAACTCCTGTATGTACAAGCAAGAAGTCAGTTTCCATCCCCTTCAGAAAACCTCTTGCTAACCACTTACATTTTCTTCCCATCAAAAAATGCATTAACAAGATCATGCTTATATAGCTAGTCAGCACAAGAGACAAATGACAATAGTATACTGAACTATTCAGGTCTTTCGATATAGTGCTCACAACTCCAAGCTGTAGCTATTGACCTTTTCAATGGCATTCATTATGTGACATTGTCACCAATTATATTAAAAGGCATTCATTAATTTTTAAAAGCTAGAATAACTCAAAAAATTCTGCACTGTGAATGACCCATGGAATATTATTGTATTTAAGCCTAAGATAGCCAGACCACTTAAATCTTTTCTACAATCCCTTGCATAATATGTGTAGAAAAATGAATGTTATGTAAGAAGAAATAGCGCGAGTTAGTGTATTTTTACCTAAGAGTTTAATTATTTATTTTAAGTGATGTCTATTACTATTTAAATGGTTGAAAATAAGTCAATGTTAAAAATTAACTGCACAAACTTTAAAAGGAAATGGCCACGTTACATCAGACTACATTGTACAGAACAAAAGCAGCTAATTAGACCTTTTTTAAAAATTTAAAGTTTCTGACATCATTTTCCACCATTCCATCAATTCTTCCTTTTCCTCCTCTTTCCTTTCAGAAAATGACTCCAGTTCAAAATCAACCTAAAAAAGAAAATCAGGAATATATTGTTAGCAATGTGCACATGTATTTTTAAAAGCTGAAATGAATTTTTTTCAAAAAATAGTAAATCACAGAGCTTTTAGGATAAGCTCCATTTGACCACTTGAATTAAATACTTTTTATACCCTAAAAAATCTCTCATGATGAAAGATACTTTGGGGGGAAGTGGGGGGAATACAATCCAAAACCATTATGTTTGAACTGTGCTTTGATCTAGTAGTTTTGTAGGATTATTTAAAAGCAGGTTATTTCAAGGCAGATTATGGAAAGGCAGTCTTTAATAAGGACTTTAGTAAAGCCGGGAAAAAGATGTCGTTTATAATTAAATTTCTGCCTTTGACTATTCAGTGCACTTCTCCTGTCAATGTTGAATGTTCTCCTCCTATGCAGCTCAGTGTCCTGGCATCCCAAACCACTAGGCTCTGCTTTCCAGAATCTCAAATCTGCCAGAGAAACCAACGAAGCACACTCACCCCCAAACCACCACAGAGGCCAAGGGCCGAGGATCTCAACTCTCTTTGGGAAGTAGGCGTCCTCGTCAAGTCCGTGGAGAATCAAGAGACACAGAGCAAGGGAAGTGCATATCATCCCCTCCTTTCCTCAGCCTGAGTGAGCCGTGGCCGAGGCCGAGGCCGGGCTGAGTGAGACGGTCACTAAGACAACAGTGACCGTCACTATGAAGATTGGATCAAAGCCACTTAACTATGCCTGGCCCACACGAGTGCTTAATAAATCCTAACTGTTAATGTGATTACTTACTCCAACAGCAGGACTGTAAGGAACCGCCACTTTCTTCGTTATCGCCAGGTAGCCTGGAGCCGATGCTGTAAGTTTATAGTTTCCGGGTACAAGCAGCCTCCAGTAATCGCCATCCTTTGCTGGAAAGGAAACAACATGCCAAATCACACGGCACATACGTGAAAGGCACAGTAAGACCAGCGAAGGAATACCCAGCATGCCTCAGTGCAAGTCCTTTTATTCCCATTTGTAAAGCAGTTATTAATGGAACGCGATTAATTGTAACTGAAGAGTGTGAAACTCTCAGGAGGGCATCAGTTCCCCTATCAATTTTACAGATTTGAATGTTAAATCGTCTGATAAATCTCCTACAATAATGACTCTCCATGATCACATCAGAACTAACACAGATTTAAAAAGACATACACAGCCGCCACATGGTGGGGTCAGAGCATCTTTTTTATTCTTGTCACGGGTCCCCTGGGGCGAAGACAGATGGTGGGAGAGTCTAGATAGGTGCTTCACAAAGTGTGGCCCAAAGACAGTCTCACCAGAATCCCTGAGGCACTTGGTAGACATTTCGATTTCTTAAGCGAAGTCTGTTGGGTCTGTTGGTTGGATTGCTATCTAGGGACAGTATGTTCAGCAAGTTCTCCAGAGAATTCTTAAGCTGAGTTACTTGTACCCGAGTTCCCGCCTGACCTGGACTAGCTTCCATGGCCCACCACTAGAATCACGCTCACCCTTAGGCCTTCAAGTCATTGCTTTTCCTGAGTGGCGATACACGCCTGGCCAACTGCCAACCTGGGTAACCTGACCTCTCTCCTCTACGCCTGCCCTGTGGGGTGCAGTGTCACATAAGGGAGCTGGAGAAGACGCGTGCCCACACTGATCTGTCTCTGATTCATAAACGCCAAGCTTGCGCAGGCAAAGGGCCTGTCCTGCCTCCCTGCGGTCTGTCAGTCTCCCTTCCCCCTACGTCAGTGCAGATCGCTGGGGGACTTGTCGAGATGCAAATTCTAATTCACTAGCTCTGGGGTGAGGCCTCAGACGCTGATCCAGCTGCTGGTGGGGGCCACACCGTGAGCAGCAAGGTCCCTGGAACAATGCACACTTCCTCCTGTTTCCTCACACGGCTCAGACAGCCTCATCAGCACTCTCAGCCCATGCGTTACCTCTTACCTCACAGTGAAAACGAAAACAATCAGCAAAACACCAGTCCCCGTCACCATCCCTTCCCATCTACCTCTGGACCCCACATCTCCTTTCAGCTGATGCTCACTGATCTCCTTCGCTTTGTAGCTAAGTTCCTGAGAAGACTGGTTACTACTCTCTACGCTCTCTCTTCTTATCCTTTCTCGGGCCTCCCGGAGCAGGCTGCCCCCCCCCACTGAGACAGATTTCATCAAGGTCTTCCACTCAGGCCGAAATCGGTTTGGCTCAGTGGATAGAGTGTCGGCCTGCGGACTGAAAGGTCCTGGGTTCGATTCCTGTCAAGGGCATGTACCTTGGTTGTGGGCACATCCCCAGTGGGGGTGTGCAGGAGGCAACTGATTGATGATTCTCTTTCATCGATGTTTCTAACTCTCTATCCCTCTCTCTTCCTCTCCGTAAAAAAAATCAATAAAATATATTAAAAAAAAAAAAAAAAAAAAAAAAGATCTTCCACTCAGGCTCACTCACAAGGCTCAGCTGCTTGACACTTCTCAGCACTCCTTCTTTCCTGAAACACCTACAGGCTCCAGGATGGTGTGCCCAGATGTCTCTCTACCCTGACCTTTATCGCTGGCTCCGCCTCATCGCCCTGCCCTCCAATAGCTGGGGTGTCCCAAAACCTCGGTCTCAATTTTTATTCCTTTCTGCCCATGTTCATTCCCTAAGTTATATTTCACTAAAACATCCACATCACAGAATGCAGAGAAACTAAGGTCTGTGTGGCACGCCAGGGGTAACAGTAGGAGAGGTTTTCTATGGCCAGGAGGGATCGATGGCTGGGTGCCATCTTCAATAGCCGGCCCCCTGGGGCCAAGGAGCCAATATCCTAGTGCAGATTCTCATGTAAGTTTGGAAAGGTGTGCTGGCACTTAGTGTGTTGACAGATTATTGAATACTACATTAATAAATGAAGTTTTAGAGAATCAACAAGGATTCAAAAATACAAGTTATGTATGTGGATGTTATGAAAAAGGTAATGGTATAAAAGTGGTTTGGGAAATAAGATTTAAAAAAATGAATTATAAGGCCCAAAAATATGTAAAGAGTTTCTAGCTAAAAGGTATTAATTCAGTTGTTGGAAAGATCCCAACGTATGACAGTTAAATTAAAATGAGTGGATAAGTGTAATTAGCAGGAATAGGTAAGTTTCCCAGGAAAATATATCATTTCGTCTAAATTGGGAAAATTGAAATGTGGTTTAAACCGCGAAACAACTAACAATGACTTCAATCCTGTAACAACCTGTTTAACCTTGAATGGGTCTTGACTTACTATATGGATGAAATGAAGAAACATATGAGAAATCCTACATGCACAATATACTGGACGTTATCTTCTTCCTATTCTTTTCATTTCCTCCTTAGGTCTACCAATGAACAATTCATTAGCACCATATATAGTTATATAGACATATAGGTATATAGATACATAGGTAAATAGATATATAGGGTCCAAAAAAAGGATATACACACACTTTGAATAATTATAAGGCAGTGTTTGTTGAAATGCATCTCATTTTCAAACTTGAGCTATCAGCTGTTAAATTGTGTATACATGTTTGGGACATATTCATATAGGAAGGGAGAAAGAGAGAGAAACGTTGATTTGTTGTTCCACTTGCATTCATTGGTTGTTTCTTACATGTGCCCTGACCAGGGACTGAATCTGCAACCTTGGTGTATACGGGATGGCTCTCCAACCAGCTGAGTTACCCCGCCAGGACCAGCACCTCTTCTTAAGAGAAATAAAGGCACTGGTATTTTAACACTAGCGGGTTCATTTTCCTTTGCCTCACGGACAACAAAGACTGTCCGGTAGATGGCACCATCTCGCAGCTCTGCAGTGAGATACCTGAGGGAAGGGCGCCATCTGCTGCGCCCCAATTTTTAAACGCAGCAGCTGGTCTGGATAACTGCCTGAGTGGCTCCCTTAAGGAGCTTTAACTAGATTAAAGCTGAGAGAGAGAAGGTAAAGAGATACGAAGCATTTAATTATTTTGCTTAGAACAGCATACGAATTATAACTATGATAACTAATTGTGCTCCTGTATATAATACGAGAGCTTTGGGTCATGGCAGAGAACACCCACCGGATGTCACATCGTGGTCTATCCCTTCCACTGAGATGGTTGCATTGGCAATTGGGTTACCTTGAAGGTCTCGGACAAATCCTTTAACTCCCCGGTGAACCTGTGAGAACACCCAAAAAATTCAGATTAGAAAATGACCTAAAAGTCCATCTCATATCAAGCACCTCCTTCTTTTCTAACAAAATACTGTAGGTCCCCAAAACATGCTCAAAAGGCCACTGAATGATTTGTGCACCCTTTAATCTGCTTTTTCTCAAGTGGGCAAATAAGAAGCAATGCCCTCAAAATTGACATCTTGTTCTGAGTCAAGGAAAGATTTTGCAGTACCAAAACAAAAACAAAAGACACACAAAAAATGATATCTTTAAAATAGTCCTGGTCTTAGCATATTTCATTCCTTTCTCTCTGTTTTAAATGGAGTTACCTGTGATTATCTCATATGGTCACTATCAGTTAACAAGACTATTACAACATTAACACCTCTTCATTCTAGAAAAATAAGATATAATATATACTGCGACTACTTTGGCATTAACCCCATGAACAGTATCGCTTTTGGCTGAAAGTAAGTGGCATGAAAGATCAATGAACTTCATAACTGAAAACTGCTTAGAAATAAAATGGAAGAGCTGCTGTTGAGAATAATGCCCTTGAATTAACGTGCAGTCATCAACAAGCTATTGCGATGCAAACTACAAAAACAGCTTTTTTTCTTCATTTTTAAATGAGAATTCAACTAAGTATGTGTTAGAAGTCACAATCACTTCCGGTTTTTGAGAAAGCACTGCTTCTGGAACATCAAATGTCAATTCAGCTTCATTACTTAACAAGATATGTTCCTGCTTCCCAATGCTCAGCTACTTCTCAATCTGGGCCCAGAAAATGATTTTCCTTTTGTGATGGATGACATTGGAATATTTCCCTACAGAAACTAGAATAAGCCTCACGTATCCCTTTATGAACAGAGAATACATTTGTCAGTGGTACAATGTTTTATGGAAGGTTATCAGCAAATGTTTTGCAAGTTCTATTCAAAAAACAGAAAACCTCTGGAGTCACCATGGTGTGAAGAGGCCCAGATTAAGTCCTAAGAAGGGAGACCATGTGGAGAGACCCAAGTTGACAGGAAGATGGAGAGGTACATAGAAAGCCCTGGCTGCTTCAGCATCCCCACCGCCCCAGCTCCAGGCACCACCGGACTCCGACCACGTGAGAGACTGAGTCAGAACTGCCCAGACATACAACTCCCACGTTACCGACTTCTCAAAAACCCTGAGTAACAATAAAGTGACTGGTACTGTGTTAAGCCACAACCTCTGGGGGTGATTTGTTCGGTAGCAATAGATCATAGGAACCCCCTATCTATAGAAGAAAAGTGCATTCAGTTAAATTGAAGTTTATACAATTATTATATGTAATAATTAAAAATGTATTGTAATTGAAAGTTTATAGTTCGGTATATGTACTGGTTTCACAAATAGAAATATTCTTGCTATGATCTCAAAATAAGCAAACAAAAAAACAAAACCCTCTAATATTCTATAAAAGCAACACATAATTGTCTTCTCTCACGGCAATTTAGAAATGGTCAAAAGTTATTCATGTTGTTGGTAATAATAAATGCTAATTTTATTGATAATCGGTATAGTGATAGAGTAAATACATTTTTATAATTATTTTTCTTTACTTTTAGTTTTTTATTGATTTCATAGAGGAGGAAAGAGAGAAACATCAACGATGAGAAAGAATCATTGTTTGGCTGCCTCCTGAATGCCCCCCACTGGGGATCAAGCCTGCAACCTAAGCATGTGCCCAGACCAGGAATCAAACCATGACCTCCTGGTTCACAGGTTGATGCACAACCACTGAGCAACACCAGCCAGGCGAGGGTAAATCCATAAAAACAAACAAACAAACAAAAAACATTTTTAGTATCTAGTGAATTAATTACTTTTTCCCAAAACTGAGCTATGAATTAGCCAAACAAAATTAACAGATTGAAATTTAGTCATTGGAAACATAAAAAGTTTGTTTCTGAGTGACTTTCCCATAATGAAAGAGTCACTAGAGACCAGAAAAAAAGTGAAGATGAACTGATATCAATGCTATAAACCTTAGAGAAATGAAGAGTTTAAATGTCAATATGGAAGATAAGTAAATCACTTCTAAAACATATAATTCACCTGGATTAGGCCCAAATATACATAGTTCATAATTGTGACTTGACTTTTTTCCAGCTTCTTCAACCCAAGACATATTACAATATGCGGTTTAATAAATAAACAAGTCAATGTCTCTATATGCCAATTGTGAGGCACAACTTTGTTGTTTGAAAGAACTCACTGTAGGTCTCTCTCATCATTGATGTTTCTATCTCTCCCTCTCCCTCCCTCTCTGAAATCAATAAAATTTAAAAAACTCACTGTAGTAATTAAACCTCAATGACAGTGCTAGGGACTGTCACACCCCACATGAATGAAAACAGGAAAAGCCTGACACTTCATGGCCTTTGCATAAGAACTCACAGACGTGAACATTGACCTCATGACTGCAGAAACTATTTAGTACACTTGTTCCTTCTATGATGCACTCTCAGATTCCAGGACATTTCAGTCAACCAAGGCTGAAAACAATAACAACAACAACAATAACACATTCCCTATAGTTGCTAGGACTGTTGGCATCAATAGTCATTAAACCCCTGTGTACTTAAATGCAAAAGGGATGGAATTTCCTTGTTGAAATGGAAGTTTGGAGGGGTCCTACCCTGCAGGGAGTATGCTTTGGTGGTGGGACAGGAGATTCATTTTTAACAAGAACCTAAATGATTCTGAAGCACCTGCCCATTAGAAATTCCTTGGGAATTTTGAGAACTAAACTGTTCCAAAGCTAGTGAGTTCAGTTAGCAAACTACCCCAAGCATGTCAAACTCACGGCTGGCAGACCCAATACCTTAAATGAGGCATGCGGCTGTCAGTTTGACATGCTTGATCTACCCTAATTAACTGGACAAGTCCAGTTCCTGCAAACATCCCTTTATAACTCTGCAAGAAATTTCTTCTCAACCAACTATGGAATTAGATATCCTAATCACCTATTTTCTAGCAGTTGTAAACTAGTCCACACTTAGATTTTAGGCCCCGGTGTTCAAAGTATTGATCACCACCATGTTGTCTCATTGTCAGGAAAACTATTTCAATACAAAATTTCTGTCAGTCTTCACTGATCGTTCACTGGACTCTGAGTCCCTAACTGGAGTGTTCTAACTGGAGTGTTCTATGAGCTCATTGTAAATACCACTCCTACTGCTTCCACACAGCTCACATCCTAACACTGATGCCACTGATCACGTGAATCCGGGGACAGGCCAAATGCTCATTCCAAGTGGCCTACAACAGGACTACATTCCTGGTCCCTCTTCTTTGCAGGTTGTTTCTATATACGTTGCTAGAGCTTTTAGATGAACTGATGCATGCCCACCTGCAACAACAAATATGACAAAATGTTTCCTCCTTCCTAATGGTGCATATGTGTGTTTTATTTTGTGTCATATTGCATTTTTTCTCAAGAACTAAGAAAAGACTTAACCAGCAGTTGAACCCATTCTTTAATTATTGATCAGAGTAATAATCATGTTGGCATTAACTACAGTAAATCTTACAGTCTCCCTCCGAGAAGCCTTTTCTGTGCTGTGGACCTGAGTTAGGGACCTTCCTCTATACTGCCATTGTTCTTTGCAGCTCACCTTTATTTTTGCATTTATCACCCTTGCTTGTAATTAGGTAATCATGTTTCTGAACCTCATTAACAGAAAAGCCTTCTTCAGGGTAGTCACTAGCCCCAGTCCCTCACAGGAAGCCAACGATAAAGAAATAGCTCAATAAAGTTTTGTTGAAAAAATATGTATATGAAATGAAAAGCATTGTATTAAAGAGGCATTCTTTGATACCTAAGTGGAAAGTATACCAAATAGCTTCGTCTTATTTCCTCTACCCCCAAAATACATTTTTCAGTTAAAATATATTTGCTCTCAGAAGATCCATTCAAATATGACTCTCCACAAAGAAGACATTCTACAAGTGTCCCCACTAAGGTTGTTCTGGGGTGAATGTGGCTAGTTGTCCTGTTTTGCTGTTGAAAATACCTTTTTATGTTAGCATGCAGCAGGATTCCACTGACCTAAAAAACCCTGTTCAGGGTGTTTTTGAACATCATTGTCTGGCAGCAGTGGCTCTATTCCATGGTAGTCCCTCTTGCTAAGGCCTCTTGTACAGATATTTGATGTATTGAAAATAATTTTTAAGCTGAGTTTACATTTTTTAAATACATTGGGTTTACATGTAAATGTCATATATGACATTTACATATATATATGCAAATAGCTACATGTTTATTTAAATATCAGCTATTTATGTCAAATTATTTTAAAATTAATCTGGACTATCTGTTGGCACCTGAAGCTAACATCACTTCACTTGACTTTGGATAAAAATGTCAAGGCAAGGAAGAGTCTTTATGTCTTTTTCACCGTCACTGCTCCTGGTGCCAATGTCTACATCGCATGGAGTCGTGTGGTTGGCAGGGGACTGGCCTGGGCAGGTACAGGGTTTTATTCTGGCACATGCCCCAAAATTCTGTACAGATCCCATTTGAATGGCTGCATAAGTGACTCTGGTGAAGATCATGTCGAGAGGCAATATGGCACAGTGATTCTGGAACTAGAGAGCCCAGGTTCTGGCTGAGTGACTTCAGGCAAGCTGTGTGATCTCTCTGTGCCCTGATTCCTCATTTTTAATTCAGGGATGATGATAATGATGGAAAAGAAAGAAATGATGATGATATAAGTTCCGCTATAGAGTTGTTATGAGAATTAATAAATTGCTACACATAAAGCATTTAGGAGAATGCCTGGGAAATGATAAATCCCCAATCAATGTAAGGGATCCTTATTATTATTGCCTCACCTTTAATGAGCTGAGTTTGTGAGACAAGGGAAGTAAAAGGGACACAAAATTTAAGGATGCACTCACCCCTACAATCTGATCCCATTCCTGCATGATCTTGAGAGTGAATGCCTCCTTAATTCCTAGCTGCCTCGCTTACCTCATTCTAGTTCTTGGTCCTGCCTGACAGGCCAAAGGTGATCGGGGTGAAGGGTGGTTCTAGGATTGCCCCTGCTTAGAGCAATATCAATGAAAACAGAGTTTTACCTCACTGCTCCACACCCTCTAGTTCACTGGTCGGCAAACTGTGGCTCCATGAGCCACATGCGGCTCTTTGGCCCCTTGAGTTTTTAGCAAAGGCCAGCTTAGGAGCACCCTAACTAAGTTAATAACAATGTATCTACCTATATAGTTTAAGTTTAAAAAATTGGCTCTCCAAAGAAATTGCAATCGTTGTATTGTTGATATTTGGCTCTGTTGGCTAATGAGTTTGCCAACCACTGCGCTAGTTTAATCAGTTATCAGTGAACATTCATGGACCACAGACCCTATAACAAATGAAAGCCTACTTGAACCACTACTGAGACATTTTCCAAATGCAGTGTCCTTGCTCTGGGTTGGAAGGATTCCCTTAGATTGGGCTCCTCTTAGGAGACTACTGTACACCAGGTTTAAAGTCTCTTCAATTTTCCATTTTCCACTGGCGACTGTGTTTACCTGCTCAAGGTAGCTAATAAGGGAGTTTTTGTTATCCTCCCAGTAGGTCTTCAAAGTCTCTTCAGGTGGAAACTTTTCACAGCTAAGCTCCATGGTGGTCTCGAAGCAGTTGCTGCTCAGGTAATTGAAGTCTTGCATTCCTGCCAAAACGCCAAATGGAAAGTCTCAACACGCAGGTGGTGACTAAAACTCTACACAGGCTGTTCTGTTGAACTGAGAGCCAAGTAACAGCTACACCAAGCAGCACCCTTTGGGGAGCCTTTGGGAAACCACAAGGAAAACCACTTACCATAAAGGCCAGAATAACATACTTGGGACATTGTGACCACCTTTGAAGCACTTGGACCAGCTTCTTAAGGAATCAATTAGCTTAACGCCTGGCTGCTGTAAGGGGCTCAAGCAACAGCCACGTTCCATGTTGCTGGAGTCGGCGTCAAACACCACCATAGGGGAGTGACAGTGTCAAATGGCAAAATAGGCATTTTCTACGGCCTTTCCCCCCAAAATACACCCATTTTGACAACCACACATGAACAGAGTGCTCTTGTGGAAGTCTAAGAGTCACTGAAAAAGTCCCACCATGCCACTGGAGCAACCCTAAAATCCAAGAGTGGACGCACTGACAAAGGCCAAAGGAACGGCTTTGCTTTCCCTGCAACACCTCTTCTCCGAGGTGGCACAGCTCAGTGCCAACGTAACACAGAAACCTTCCAAACTGTACCACACACTAATGGAGGTGAGTACTCGGAATCCTCTAACACCGTGCTGTGTTAATCACTTAACTCTAGTTTAAAGGCTAAAGGACAAAAATATTAAAGATACCTATAGCTACAATGAGATGGCATAGGTAAGTCCTTACCTGTAAATAACTACCTTAAGTGTAAATAGATTGAATTCTCCCGTCAAAGGCATAGAGTGGCCAAATGGGAGCCGGGGCTTCAGAAAAGCAAGAATGGCCTCTGCCAGCACTTCCATCCGGCAGAAAGCTGCCGCCACCCTAGCTTTTGCCCTGATGCCAGACCATTAACTTCCTCCGGTGTGTCCCTGGTTCCTTTCAAACAGCTGCACCAGCGCGGGAGCTCAGAGGGAGGGAGTCCCATGAAGCCCACGTGCAGGCCTTTGAGAGGAACGCCTGGGACTCCAGCAGCCCTCTTCCTACTCAGCCACAACCCCCACTGGTTTACACAGCCAGAGGTTCTAAGGACTCTTCCTCCTGGCTCTGGAACTCGGGGCTAGGAGGCCTTTTGTGGGGTGGGACCCCTCGCTCCTCCGCAACTGAGATATCCCTCCCAATGTTTACTCGCCACACATGGGTGAAGGATCAGCCCCATTCTATGTCTCTTTCCCCTCTGCCAGTCTCAATGTGGCTTTTTAAAAACTGATTTAAGAGAGAGAGAGAGATCAATTTGTTGTTCCACTTATTTATGCATTCATGGTTGATTCTTGTATGTGCCCTGATCAGGTACAAAACCTGAAACCTTGGTGTGCTGAATAGACTCCCTAACCCAATGGTCGGCAAACTGAGGCTCATGAGCCACATGCGGCTCTTTGGCCCCTTGAGTGTGGCTCTTCCACAAAATACCACATGCAGGCACGCACGTACAGTGCGATTGAAACTTTGTGGCTCATGCGCAGAAGTTGGTTTTCGGCTCTCAAAAGAAATTTCAATTGTTGTACTGTTGATACTTGGCTCTGTTGACTAATAAGTTTGCTGACCACTGCCCTAACCAAATGAGCTAATGCACCAGGGCCTGTGACTTCTTTAAATCCTTAGTTGTAGGTTTCCATTCACCTAGATTTCAAGTTGTTCTGAATGATGGTGTTCAGTAGGTGAGGTGTAATTTTGATGCTTCTCCCTTTTTTTTTTTTGTAACTAGTAATACTCCACTTTCAACAATGGAAAGATGATAGATGATAGATAGATAGATAGATAGATAGATAGATAGATAGATAGACCAGACAGACAAACAATAAGGAAACACTGGCTTCCAACTATACTTGAGATCACATGGACCTAACAGATACATGCAGAACACACCATCCAACAGCAGGTGGCAGAATACACAGTCTTCTCAAACACACATGAAACAGTCTCCAGAATAGATCATATGATAAGTCACAAAGCAAGCCTTACAAACCAAGGAGAATGAAATCATAGCAAGTATCTTTTATGAACACAATGGTACGGCCTTCCTCCCAATGGCTCAGGCCAAGGTGAGACTGTATCTGAGACCACATCCTTGTTCAACTCCTATCTCCTTCCTTACCCTGCTTCCCTCATCTCCATAAGGGTTTTTTTCCCCCTAAAAAGCAGCCCCTCAACAAATTATGAGTATCCAAATCCCTGCCTCAGGTTTTGCTTCTAGAAAACCTGACTTGAGACATTGATTTTATTCATTGCATAGATTGCTAAAGAAAGTCACATCTCTCTTTGACTCTGATTATTGTGGGACATAATTATAATTCTTATTATTAATATTACTAGAGGCCCATGCATGGGATTCATGCACTGATGGGATGGGAGGTGGCCTGCGAGGATCGGCCTTTGTAGGAGGCGCCGCTCATCCTGGTCACTGCACAGCCGTGGACCTGCCCTTGGAGTGGCTGCTTCCTGGTTCAGCATCTTCCGTGGAGCTGGAGCACTCACCTTTCCAGGGGACTTGGTCGGGACCAGGCCCAGGAACAACAGCACTGAAAGGTGGCATAGTAGGCCTCAGTCTCGCAGCAGCCACGAACCTAGCTGCTAGCCTCTGGGGTCAGCTCTGCGAGCCTGGGGCGGCCTTGAATGGCCTGTGGGCATCTGCAGGAGGCGGCAGGGAGCAAGGAGGAGGAGCCTGGGGCAAGGAGGCGAAGATGGATCTCAGCCTGAGTTCCTGCCCATCAGCCCAGGGTTCACCACAGGATCAGCCACTCATCCTGGTCAGCTGAGCGCGCCCCCACTGTGGTACGGCACTCACTACCAGGGGGCAGCTCCTGCGTTGAACATCTGCCCCCTGTTGGTCAGTGGACATCATAAGGATTGGTCAACCAATTGTTCTGGTCATTCTGCTATTGGATCACTGGGCTTTTTATTATATAGGATTGTTACTTTGCTGATCTGTATTATTTGGCATTTTGTAGACAGTGCACTATTTGTCTAAAAAGGTAATTCCAAAGGAATTCCTCAAGTTTTTATAAAAACAAAATATAAAATGACTTCCCATTTGATATATTTGACAGTCTAAATCCTAAAATCTGACATAGACCTTATTTCCCAAGCCCTACAGGGAGGAATGTGCTAAATCTGATCTGACCTGGTTTTTAATTGCAACAGGGTAAACTTATATCGGAGAGAAAAAAAACAGGAAGAATATTTTTCTCAGGGCACAATTCAATAAAAAAAATTAGCAAACCAAAATCCTTCAATTAGGTAGTGCTGATACTATGATAGTTAGTTATCTTATTCATCTCCAGGTGGCCTGTAGAATATTTTTCTTAGGCAAAGAGGGGGAAAAACATACCAATGTCTTTACATTTCACTCATCCTCGGTAGAGGCAAGTATTACACAACTGTGATTGGGCTGAGCAGCCAGAAAAAGGAGATCTCTGCAAAGTTCTTGTTAGGGCAAAGGGAGCCACAAGAGCTGCAATGGTTTTCTAGGAGGTGGGTCCTCCAGTAACTGTGCCGTACGTGGGCTTTTCCCCTTGACAGGCCAAATGAAAGAGGAAGAGCTTCCTGATCCAATAGTGGTTGTAACAGTAGTGACCATACAATAAATATCCCACATCAAGTAATCTCCATCATCCCATCATTCAAATAAAATTTTAAAAAAGTGAGTGGACCAACCTATACTAAAGGTCAAAGCCTGCCCTCTAAAATATACATTTGCCTATAATCCAAGCAAGACTAACACATAATCAGGATGCTGTCTTATTCATTAAGCTCAGAATTTCAAATGTAGGGTAATTAACAGTATTCCATTTATGGTGTCCCAATGGACATCTTTAGTTCATGCCCCATCTCTCTTAAATTAGCATACTGATTTTCAAAACGCAACCACACACAGCAATTATTCATGCGGAGAACTAATTTTAATGGGTGAATTACAGGCTCAGTCTATTTCTTAGTGACTGAGAAGGGTTGGAGATCCTCTCAATCCAAACCGTAGTTGTACATAAGCCCCTGTCACACAAGCCAAGAGGGAAGCGGGCCTCACCGCCGGGTATGCTGTACCATGCTGCACCGTTGGTCGTCCCGTCTACAAAGCTGCTGTCATCATCGTTCTTGCGACACGGTGGCCGATTGGGGTCCGACATGGATGGGTTAAAAGAGGAGTATGCCCTAGCCAAGCTTCGGAAAACGGCATCATCTGGGCAAGAACTATATTCCTGAGCACTCCCTAGAAAATAAATACACAAGATTGAAGAAACGCACACAGACCAAGGAGCACTGCAAGTTTTCCAAAGTGTGAGTCAGCATCGACCTCTTGCCTGGTGTATTTTTTTCAGCCACATCCCTCTGGGAAAGACATGAAAGCTTAAGTATCAACAATGACACTGAGCCTTTAGGTTATCTGATTTCCACGGCTAATACCACAAGGTAAAAAAAATCTGATGGAATGCCCATGGTGCGTATGAGTTCAAAGCTTCAGAAGAAAAGGTGATAAGCTTACAGTAAACTGGGCCTGGCCGAACAGTAAAGGAGATATTTCTATTGTTAAATTTTTAATTTAAAAAATGTACTTATGAAGTTGGCAGTTATAAAACCATCACCGGCATGTAAAGTACAGCATAAGGAACACAGTCAACAATATTGTAATAACGACGCATGGTGTCAGGTGATGAGTTTGTAAGTTACATAATGTCTAATCAATGGCTTGTATACCTGAAACTAATATAATATTACGTATCAACTGAAATGGAAAATGTTTTTCTTTTTTTTTAATGTACTTGTACTATAAACCACATTCATAGCCACTATAAATCACTGTCATATGTTTCAGTATCTGAGTTTACAGTTTTTTAAAAATCTCCCATGTGTATTATAAAAATAATATTTTAATACACTGTATTGTGATCCATGTATCATAAAATATGCCAAGCTTTTACAATTCCTAGCGAATGGCATAATACAAAAAATCTCTACATTTTAACAATGTTGTACCAAAGACTTTCTTCAAAACTCAATAACATGACCATCCTGTGTTCACAAAGAGCTAACTCTTCAAAGGGTCATAAGAATCAACCCAAAGCAAGAGATTTCTTGGAGTAAGAAAAATTAAGGTGAAAATATCTATCTGGCTAGAGCTTGCTATGCCTGAAACTTAACGAAAACATGTCAAAGAGAAATGAAAGCACCATGTCCCTCCCTGACAGGACCACCAACAGTTCCAAATGCAAAAGCATGAGAGATCGGTGAGACACGTGGAGTTCCATATGGGTCCTGGTCAGCACCAAAAGTCTGCCTCCATTGGTAAGCCATTGTGTACACAGAGATATAGAACATCCGTAATTTCCCCGTGGTACCAATGTCCAAGAGTGACCCAGGTTCATGACTCCTGTTTTCCCTCCTTTCTCTCACCTGAGTATTCTGTCAAGATTACATTTCTCTTCACCTAAACTTTTTTTTAAGTTACATCCTTTCCTGTCAAATATATATGGTCAATGCCACGTGAAATAGGGGATGTTCCTGATAAACATAGTTATTTCTACAGGCAACATCAGTTAATGACCAGTTCCTTAAAATAGTATTATAAATGTCACCTTTCAAAGCCTTGCAAAGTAACTGTAAACCTGAACCAAGTAGAAAAGCAGCAAGAACACCTACCACTCCGAGTCTCATCATAGGGGTAATTGGCCACAATGTCTCCTCCGTGGAGATTGGCAGAGAGCACAAAAGGAATATCCATAATCCAGTGGATGACAGCCTTGGTCTCAGGAGCAAGCTATATTAAACATTAGAGATTAAAAGGGTTATAAATTGGTAATCACTGGTGAGATCACTTGACAGAAAAGATACAGGAAAGGTTTAAAAAACGCCCAGAAGCTGGTCAACCACTTTGTGGTTGTTTTCATAAAAAAGACAAGACGTTCCTATATGAACAGCACCATCTCTATTTTTCTTGGATTTTTTTACAATAAAAAAATATTTTAATAGTGTTTCAATTTCATCATAAGTTCTACTTTTGTGGGGTGCCAGCTTTTTTCTCTGAAAACGAGCGTGCAGGTCACTTATAAATTTTAGAATAGTCCATCTGACATTTCAGTGTTAATAGCTAAGGAAAGACAAACAGAAAAGAAAATAGTTGAACCATGTTAAAGATAAAATCACAGGCCCAATGTGGTGTTATTTAAAGCCTATGAAACCAAATCTAGACTTCATACCTGACCTATTGCTATTTCAATCTCTCCCAGAAATATAGTCTTAATCAACGAACCAGTCTGAAATTTTCAGGCCAAACACCCAAAAGGTTATTTGCACAGGGGCCCTCTCCAGTATGCAAAGGAAGAAAAAGCAATTTGCATGATAAAAACCTTTGCTGTTCCCTGTCCCCAAAAAGTAATTTTTCTTTTAAACATTTTTTTTTTCTTTTGTTAACAGCTCTTCTGCCCCATTCTTCTTCCGGTTAAAAACCTTCCATTTTGTACAACTCCTTGGAGCACCCTTCCACTGGCTAGCTGGGATGCTGCCTGATTTCATGTATTGTTTAATAATAAAGCCAATTAGATCTTCAAATTTACTCGGTTGAATTTTGTGTTTTAACACCACAGAACAGAGTTCTTTCTCTATAGTGGTTCAACTCCTGAAACATGGTAGGTTTTATTTTCTATTTTTGCTTACTATTGTTCTAATCCTCTTCAATGACTTTGCTTACTATTGTTCTAATCCTCTTCAATATAAAATATCAGTTTTAGGCTGAAAGAGACCCAGCCTACTGTAAAACTAATATTTTACAGTAAGCTCTGAAAGGACCCAGCCTAATATTTTTTATATGCTTAAAGTAATTGAAGAGGGTTAGAACAATAGTACGCAAATGATCTTTGAAATGATCCTCTTAAATGTTAAAACAAAGGCAAACATTTTAGGACTTCATGCTGTCTTTTCAATGATGTACAGTCTTTCTTATCTTGCAAACAAAACAGAAGGGGAAAGAAATTTTTATCAAAGTAATTCTTTAACTTAAAAAATAAAAAAATAAAAGCTTTACTGACATATTTCTATATATTTTTTTAGGTTGATACATTAGAAAGTAATCTTAAAGGATATATACAGAAAGGTAAATGGTGATCATTTAAGACTAAAAGGTTATTTTTCTCCTCATTTATATTTGCTTTAGCTTTTCATTTGTAATAAAATATTAATTTTGTATAAAAAACACTATAAAAAACTGTGCTTTGAAACAAATTTAGAGATGCAATCCTGAATACACAAAGTCATGTGTGGCTATTAGATTTGGCCTATTGTTAGTTCTTATATGTACACTGCTGCTAATACACACACTATCTGCAGGCTCAAAACTAGCAAGTGAATTCCACGATTTGGTAAATTAAACTATGTTTCTCTTTGAATATTAACAGAGTCTTTCAGGCTGACTGAGTTCTGAGACCCCCTAGGTGCTGTAATTATACACTTAAGTGATCCATAGGGAAGCTTCTGGTGTCTCCCATGATCGAGCCTTTAATACAACCCAGGACCAATTGGGACCTATTTTTAAAGCTTCCATTTAAAGACTGTAAATATAGCTTAAATATTATGTTCTACAATTAGACGGCGTTGGCTCTTAAAATAGATTAAAGCCATATTTATTCTGTTTCCTCCACAACTTTAGCCATTAAAGATAAGTATAAATTTAAGACGAGTATAACAAAACTATTTAATTTATTTTAAGCCACTTTGTTCCAAGCAATTCAGGCCCAGTTCATGTACTGAGGGAGCCCGGATGGCAGTGGAGGTGGCCTGGCTGAAGATGAGAAATGACTCAGTGGGAAGAACGCCAGGAGAACAAGAGAGAGCCGTTGGTTCAGAAGGGCAAGGAGATCATCTGAACAACCCGGTGAAAATATAGGTTCCTTCCCATCACCCACCCCTGCAGCATCCACACCCCAGACCTTCTCAGTGGGACTCCACAGGAACCTGCATTTTTGACCCCTGATTCCTAGCACCCCAAACATAAACAAACTCTGACACTTAAAAACCACTGTAATCACTTCCCCTAATGAGAGCAACGAGAAGGGAGGATGTATGGTAACATTAGTGAACTGTTTACCATGCCCAGTACCAGGCTGGGCCTGCCGCTATCTCAGCCTCAGTAACAAAAATGGAAAAAGAAGATGAACCAATATCGTCTGAAGATTCCATATAATATAAACAAATAATGCTTCTGTTCCAGACAAGAGGCTAAACTTTATTTTTTTATTTCTCTTTAACATACCCTTAACCAAGAAGTACCGGCATTGAGATTTTCAATATAAAAGCTCTAATATTTTAAAAGCACCACGAACATGCATCTTTTAAATAAGTATTGCTTCAGCTAGAAATATGGGGGGGAAACACCTATGGTAAAGCCTGTGTAAGCCTGGTGTAGGTTCAAATTGGAGAAAGGGAGTTAGCGCCGGCTGAATAATAACAGCACTTACACAAATGTCCTGTCAAGATGAGTTTATGTCTCAATTCTTTTATGGTAAATGACAGGGATTGTTTTTCTCATTTCTCAGATTTAACAAAGACGGCATCAGCAGGTTAATGCAAGCCATGCAGAGCATCTGAGGGCTGATACTAGCATCGGCTTCCACGAAGAGTTTCATTTCTGTCTTAGCCTCATAGCTCATCACACAGGCATGCCCTCTTTTCACCTCCAGTCACCCCAGCTGCACCCAGCCCTCTGCCTGTCCAGCTCCTCCTTCTCCCAAATGGTTAGGGGGCTGAGAAACTGCAAATGTATCTGTGACTCAGAAGCAGGAATGTTTCAGTCACTCAGAATGTAACAGGTGCTGCCAGAATCCTCAGTCGCCGCAGGCCCCATCACCAGGCCAGCCTCCTGACCTGTAAGCTCAGCCCAGGTTTCTGGAATAAATCCTAAACATAGCAGGAGAGTTTCAGGAATTTCAGACCAACAATCTGGAACAGCCTCTCTCTGGATCCTCCACCCCATGTCCCACCCACACATGCATGCTGGTCTGGGACTCCAGCTGTGGGTTTTCAGCGGCCACACTTTTCAGAGACTGTGAGTTGCTTGCCAGGCTGGATTGCATGCGTTCCTAACAGGCTCTCAGCCTACCCTGTGTTAGACTCAAAAATGAATTCTAATTCCTGCAATCCAGGGATCGAAATCTAGAATCAAAGGGAAAAGCAACTATATAAACAAAACAATTATAACCTACATAATAAAGTTCTCTGTAACATTAGCACCATACCAGAAGCATGCGTACACAAAGAACGTAAAGACAGACGTAACAGGATCTGTCAGGAAGAGCAGAGGCGGGCTTCCCAGAGGAGGTGACGTGGGAGCAAAAGAAGAGCATTGTAGATCAATGGAACACACACAAAGACATAAAAGTATTAGAAAAGCGTATGCTTAGGGAGCGAAGAGGAGTTGGTGGACTGAAGTATATGGTGTATCAGAGCCAGATTAACGAGTGCATCTGCCGGCTGCTGGCAGAGGCCAAGGAAACCGAATGGTCCTGGAACGGTAAGAAAATGGGGAAACTGTACTTCCCAGTTCTCACTTAGGAAAGGAACCCGAGCAGTTGCTAAGCCAGCGCAGAACTGCCCGGAATAATGGAAGGGGAACTGCGAGCTGCCAACAGCACTTCTCACCTCTCCTACAAAATGGCTCTCTCCCTCACCCAAGTCACTGAAGACAGTGTTCAAGCAATTTGGTTTGTAGAAGCACCAAATGTTTAGTGGGCGTCAATGTGTCCATCTAAGCCTGAGGTACATATCAGGAAGCACTGAGAAATTATGGAAAAATGGTAATAATACTAGTGGTCTAGGTCCTAGCCTCAAATACTTTATATCATATGTAGTAACTCGCTCAATCTCTATAACCACCTTATGAAATAGATACTATTAATATCTCCCATTTCAGATGAAGAAGTGGAAGCACCTAGTTTTTAAATAACTGTCCCACACCACACAGCAAACATGGAGCCAGGACTGAACCAAGGTGGCTGCCTGCGGAGTCTCCATGCTGAACCACCACGCGATTCTGCCATTTTGAGCTTTTACTTTATCTCCGGGCAGTGGAGAGCTGGAAAGGTTTTTTCAGACAAAGAGCAACAATCTGTGTTTGAAGACCATCACTCTAGAAGATTCTAAGAAAACTGAGTGGAGTAGGGAGAAGCTGAACCCAAAGCAAGTATGCGTGGCTATCGTGCCATCAGAGCAAACGATGGGAGTCTGACCAGGGCAGCGGAGAGAATTTGTAGAAAAGGAAGACTGGACAAGTGTTAGGGATGTTAAATTACTGAAATTTGGTAACTTATTGCTGGTGAGTGCTGACAGCCATTTTTTTTTAAAAATGAAGTCTTCGATTATGGTTAAAGGAGAGAATAGTGTTTTCTTAGGGAAAAATATTTGGTTTGGGTCAGGCTGAGCATGAGGCTCTGGGTGCCCCCAGACAGAAACACTCCACAGCAAGTAAGATTGAGAAACAGAGCTCATGTGAGCTGGAGTTACACATATAGATCTGGGAGACACTATAGGCACAGGAACCCAGGGAAAGATATGTGGGTAGCAGATGGGACCCTGAAAGCCAGCCCGTAAGCTAAGGTTGAAGAAGCAGAGAAAGAAACCAAATAGTGAATTGAAAGACAGTAGAAAAGGTAGGAGAAAGCGGAGTTGTGCAAAGCAAAAGAGGAAAATATTCTGGAAAAGAAGAAAGATCAACAGTGTGAATAAAAAGCTGCAGGAGGGTCGGCACCGGTTTGGCTCAGTGGATAGAGCGTTGGCCTGTGGACTGAAAGGTCCTGGGTTTGATTCCGGTCAAAGGCATGTGCCTTGGTTGCAGGCACATCCCCAGTAGGGGGTGTGCAAGAGGCAGCTGATCGATGATTCTCTCTCTTCGACGTTTCTAACTCTCCATCCCTCTCTCTTCCTCTCTGTGAAAAATCAATAAAATATATATTTTTTTAAAAAGCTGCAGGAGGAGTCAATCAGATGTTGTGATAAGTACCTCTGAAAGGGCCATGCTGGCTTTCTAAGACACTCACTACCGGGTTCCAATCTCCTATCCCCACCCCTCACTCCCCACCCCTCAGCCACCCTGCCAGATTCTAGCAGCAAAACTGGTATCAGTGCTCCAGTCTTTGCGGCCTTGTCTTTGGCTGCTCAGTTAACCATCTCAGAAAGTTTGACGTTACTCCGCCATCCTTCATTATGATGAGGTTATTTGAACATATTTCATTAGGCTACACAAAAGAACCCAAGAAAACTATACACATTCTCTACCTTTGCGTTTTGATCCACAATTTTCTTCAGATTTTTCAACAGATGATTATTGGGACCACCTTCCTTCTCATTAATATAAGCTATCCTATCCAGGTCGGGAAAGTTCCTGTTCAGATCTATTCCCTGGGCATTGCTTCGACCTACCAACCAGTCCCTGAGTTCACCAGGCTAAAAAAAATCAAAGAGAAAAATCATCATTAGTTATTTACTAATATTGTTGCTATGTCTTTAAGGTCTCCATTAATGGTTTTTAAAATAATTTATTGAGATTAATCATTTATTTCAACAATATCCTCCCATAATGGCATGTTCACTATTTTACTGATATAAACATGAAGGAATCAGGTTTAAAATAACTGTTATGGCTATTTTGAAAATATTTTCAATAAATACTTTAAATGTTAACAATAATAGCATTTAAAAGATATTTATCATCAAATTGCAAAAAGTCAATATGTATTAGCTGATAATAGATGATATGTATTTCAAATTATACCACTCTATAGTAACATTTAAATAAGATATTTATGGCCCCAGTAAATAAGAGCAACCTATTTTTAAATATGTAAAAGAATAAATTGCTAAATAAGATGAGAAGCTTAAAATGAGTTTAACATTAATTATTATTTATATATTAATAATAAACTTCCCTCTTATAGTCTGCATAAAAAAGAAAAACACGTGCTCTAGAACAAAAGTTCTAGAGCTTTATTAGTTGGAGAAATTTCTGTTCAACTTTAAGGCCTTCATTTCACTAATGGTATAACCTGGAATTTAATAAATTTCTAAGATATTCAGTTATATCCCATAATGTAGATTTTTTTACTATTAAATTATATCAAGCTATAGATAATTTTCATATTCCTGAGGTCATATAAGCTCAGATATCTTAGACTATGAGGAATAAAAATATATAAGAAAATAACTTGATCGTATTTTGTCCACCCTGTCTCACAGTTCTGAATATCACCTTAAAATATTAGATTATTTAATTCTCTGTGTCTCTAGAATTCTCTCATAACTTTAGAAATTATATATCATTGTTACACTTATTTACAGAAATTCACAGTCTGGGTTTCTTATAATGTCAGGTCACAGGACCTTTTCTTTTTAAGTTAAAAATTAACTTCTTAACTTTAGTTAAACATACAAAATATATATTTTAATATGTTCTCATATATGAGAATTATCTCAAAGTGTAGAAAACAGCAAATATAATGTCCCTGTCCAAACAAAGAGAGAACACTTACTATATATCTTCTCTTAAAACACCATTACTTTCCAGTTTCTCAAACAGTTAAATTTTTAAAAATTCATTTTAAAGGTAGAAAAGATTTTAGAGGTAGGAGGGGTTTGTTTTGTTTTGTTTTGTTTTGTTTTACTTTACTCATCATAGACAAGGATTCAACATCAGTGAACCATTGATCTGGCCAAAAATATATTTCTTCTTTGTTTTCAGTAGAGGGAGCAATGATATCAATTCATTCAGACACAGCAACTGGTATGCTTTAAGAATTTTTAAAATATACAATACCGGACTATTTAATCAGGTGCACTAACCTCTTTTCCCTTAGATTGTCAAATTTAAAAATATGACAACAGCCAACATAACAATTGCCATTGAGTGTGAATGAATCAAAATTATACCTTTTTTTTTTTTGTCAGATCAACAAAAAATATATTTTCTGGTGTGCAGCAGAGTTTTAGTGATTAGTTTATGTGTGTCATGAGACAAAAAAAAAAGATTGAAAATCACTGAGACACAGGGATCGTATCATTCTCCAATACAGAGCAGTAGGTATTTTCATGCTTGTAGAGTTTTATTTCTTTTACTTATTATTTTTTTTTACTTGTAGAGTTTTAGAAGGAAACTGACCTTGTCACAAACATGAGTAGGTGTGATTTCTTTAACAACACAAACAAAACATTGATTACTGATTTCTCAATCGAAATCTCTGCTGAGGCAACCCTTACCCATCATCTCTTACCTTCTGAATTTTTTTTTTACCAGTAAAACATATGACTTATACCCTCCTACTGCACCATGTGTAAGCTTTATGTGAGTGCATTACTTGTAGATAAGTCCATGTGTACAAATATACAAAGTGAAGAAAGCGTGCCTGCTCTGAGCTTGTTCGCACTCACCTGAGACGCTGCCTTCTCAAAGCCATCAGGGTTCAGCGAAGGCATAATGTGAATCCGAGTGTTGTGGATCAGCTTGATGATTGTCTCATTCCCTTTTTGATATTCATTGCACAGGTACTGGGCCAGGAAAATGAGCAGTTCCCGCCCAACAGCCTCATTACCATGCATATTCCCAATGTATTTAAATTCAGGCTCACCTATAAGATAAAATAAGATAGAGATGTTTTCTATAGCACCCATTAGAAGGCAAATGACATACAAGGCAAACAATATTATATGTCTACTGGTTTATTACACAAAGCTGACAATTTCATTGCCTTCCAGAACTGATGCCAAAGAAATTGACCTTAAATATAAAAAATACTCCAAAATCCCCTCTGTTCTATTTCTCTCTCCCTAGTCACCAGCTTCTTATGAACTTAACTGTATCTTCCAAATTCCTGTGTTTTAGCTCTAACTTCCAATGTGACTGTATTTGCACATAAAACCTTTAAGGGGGATCATTAAGGTAAAATTAGATCATAGGGGTGGGGCCCTAATCCAAAAGGATTAGTGTACTTATAGGAAGAGGAGGAGACACCATAGAGAGAGAGCTCATCTCTCCCAGCTGCAGAGAAAAAAGGCCCTGTGAAGACACAGGGAAAAGGCAGAGCCCACAAGCCAGGAGAGGTCTCATCAGAAACCAACCCAGCTGGCACCTTGATCTTAGACTTTCAGCTTCCAGAACTGTGAGAAAATAAACTTCTGTTGTCTAAGCCACCCAGTCTTTGATATGTTCTCATGGTAGACGCAGCAGACAAATACACCAGCGCTCCCCCAATAACGAATAATGATAACACACTGTGTGCCTCCTATTGGTTAGGCACTGAACTTGCATGTTTTCTTATTTAGTCCTCCCCAAACACCTAAAAGTGGATATTATTATCCATCTCTATTTGAGCAAACTGAAGTTCTGATTGCTTAAAAGGTCTGATCACAGTTACACAGTCATAAAGCTAGGATTCAAATGCTTATCTTCTCATTTAGTTAGAAGTCTACACTTTATTTTTTTAACCAGAGTGATTCAACTTCTATGTGATTAAAATCCTAGCACCAATTGTTACTGGCTGTCCCTGAACAATCTACTTCAGCTCGATGGCTCTGTTTACCCATCTGATGACAGATTCTACCTCATGGGGTGATTATAAGAACTAAGTGAAATAGTAAGTTTAAATGCTTACAACAGGGCCTGGAGAATAACAAGGGCTGTGTGTTTGCCATAATTATTTTAGTATTATTATTGTGTGACATTATCTTGTCATTGTGAGGTGCTTTCGTACACATAATCTAGTCTTCTCTTGACAGTAGTCCATCAAAATGTGGAAGACAGATATCGTATTATCCTTTTGTATAAGAGGATGTCTTGAAGGGCCCAGAATTTAAATCTAAATCACAGTGACCCATTTCTGCTGCTCTCCACTGCAGCTGTAAGAGGATGTCTTGCTGAAGGGCCCAGAATTCAAATCTAAGTCACAGTGACCCATTTCTGCTGCTCTCCACTGCCTTTTAGGGAGAGAAATAAAATTGTAGGGCCATCTCAGTGAATCCTGTGGCTCCGCTCCTTTCTGCTTCATCCAATCGCAGCAGTGGAAAGAGGTCCCACCTACAAAACCACTAGGACTGCTCACCTGGGTTTAAAAAAAAAAAAGTTGGAAATGCTCAGCTGGTATGGCTCAATGGTTGAATGTCAACTTATGAAACAGGAGATCACAATTAGATTCCTGGTCAGGGCACATGCCTGGGTTGAGGGCTTAATCCCCAGTGTGGGGAATACCAGAGGCAGCTGATCAATGATTCTCTCTCATTAATGTTTCTCTCCCTCTTCCTCTCCCTCTCCCTCTCTCTCTCCCTCTCCCTCTCCCTTCCTCTCTGAAATTGATTATATATTTTTAAAAATACATTTATTGATTTTTTACAGAGAAGAAGGGAGAGAGATAGTTAGAAACTATAGATGAGAGAGAAACATTGATCAGCTGCCCCTGCAAGCCCCCCTCTGGGGATGTGCCTGCAACCAAGGTGCATGCCCTTGACCGGAATCGAACCTGGAACCCTTCAGTCCACAGGCTGCAGCTCTATCCACTGAGCCAAACCAGTTTCGGCTAAATATTTTTTTTAAGTTGGAATTATTTTAATCCTGGAACTACATTATCTAAATATTCTTTGCATCAGAATCCTGAGTATGTGATTTAAGTGACTGCTCGCCACAGAAAGCCACGCCCTGCGTGACCTCTCAGCCTGAGTTTAAGCTCATCTTCTTCCAAGGATCAGATGGGAGCAGGATCAGTGCTGTTTATACTCTCATACAACCACCTCCCTGAGACTTGCCCAGGGGATGTGTGAGGAGAGATGTTTTTTCACTTCTGATTTCAAAAGTCCTAAGAACCTTCTTTGCTTCTGTCAAACTCGCAAACTTTATACTTTCCCCTGACTGGGTTGTATTCATCTGCCTGGGGCAGGAGAAACTGGAGCAGCCCATTGTGAAGGGAAACAGAGCCCTCGCAGCCAGAGGAACATCACCGCCCACTTGGCAGTTCTCTGAGAAGAGGGCACGGGTGGAGGAGGCATTCTGGTCCTGCTCCCTTATGCACTTCACCCCACCCAGTTTTGAAGCTTCAGTCACTCAAAAGATCTTGGCCCACCACAATTTTCTATTACTTCTCTAAATTTAAAACAAAACACATCTTTAATAGTTACTTAGCCCCCTAATGTTTTTTGTATGGCTGTCACGGTGTGGTCTGCATTTGAATGCGAATGCTGTGGGATTAACTCCTGCTCTCCCAGTTCTGCCACAGATGGTACCACTCCCTAACCTACTTTATTTGATCACATTTGCAACTCCTTATTTTCAGATTCAGGACATTTCCACTATGGTTTTGCTCCTGTGACTCTCTAGGAAAGTGCCCTCAGGAACAAATCTCCCCCAATGTATCCATTGTATGTGTGAGGAGATAGAAGTAATGCTGACAACAGAAATGCTTTAGGTTGACATGAAGATAGGACTGTAAAGGTCATTTTATGGAAGAACTTAATATGTGAAAATAAAATTCAAGGCACTTGCGTGGTAGCACAAGAAAAGGCAAGGGTATTTTTATCTTTCTCTTCAGGAATAAATTAGATCGCTAGGTAAGCCTGCTGACAGGCCTGGTGAGATGGAGAAGAGCTACAGATTAACTACAGCATTTGTTGACTATATACAGTATATTCAAATTCTGATGTGAGACACTATAAGGAACCCAAAAGCAAATAAAGCAGCATTCCTAAACTCAAGGAATGTCGGGTCTGAAGGACACAGACAAGCACAGAACAATGTTCAAGAGTAAAGCAACGAAGGAAGGTTGGATCGTAAACAACTGGCTTCCAGAGTCCAAACTGGACTATTCCTATGGCCTCTGTAGCCCTTTCTGATACTTTGTCCCCCTAAAACTAGAGTTATCATTTCAAACACAGCCCCCATTGTGTGCCCTCTAAGTCCTAAAAATCCATCAGTTAACTTCCCATTTGCATTTATCATAAAACTCAAAATTCTCTACAATATTTTTAACTCCTACTCAGCCAGTGTGGCTCCGTGGTTGAGCATCAACCTATGAACCAGGAGGTCATGGTTCAATTCCTGGTCAGGGCACATCCCCGGGGTTGCAGGTTCGATCCCCAGTAGGGGGCATGCAGGAGGCAGCCAATCAATGATTCTCTCTCATCATTGATGTTTCTATTTCTCTCTCCCTCTTATTTCCTCTCTGAAATAAATAAAAAAAATATATACCCCCCCCCCAAAAAAATGTCCCACGTGGTCATGTCTGATCCACCTCCCTGATTCCTCAGGCACCATCCTCCCCTCTCCACCTTTCAGCCACATGATGCACTCTTGCCTATGATGCGCTCTTCCCACACACACATTTTGACCTCACATGCTTCTTATCCTGGATAAGTATGGTTTTCTCAGAGTGTGCTTAGTCTAATTCCACTTACTTTGTTACTTTTAATATCTCCATTTGAAAATATATATTAATCAGCCCTAACCGGTTTGGCTCAGTGGATAGAGCATCGGCCTGCAGACTGAAAGGTCCCAGGTTTGATTCCAGTTTGATTCCTGTACCTTGGTTACAGGCACATCCCCAGTAAGGAGTGTGTAGGAAGCAGCTGATGGATATTTCTCTCTCATTGATGTTTCTAACTCTCTATCTCTTTCCCTTCCTCTCTGAAAAAAAAAAAATCAACAAAATATATATATATTTTTTTTAAAAGAAAGATATATATACATTAATCATTTTGGTCTCTTGTTTAATTTCCTATCCCAAGATTGTGTGGTCTAATAGTACAGAGATGGTAACTATTTTAGGTCATTAGTGTTTCTTCCATGCCCAGCACAGAGTTGGAAAAATAGTAAGAACACAGAAAGTTGCCGAAACCGGTTTGGCATAATAGATAGAGCATCGGTCTGCAGACTGAAAGGTCCCAGATTCGATTCCGGTCAAGGGCATGTACCTTGGTTGCAGGCACATCCCCAGTAGGGGGTGTGCAAGAGGCAGCTGATCGATGATTCTCTCTCATCAATGTTCCTAACTCTCTATCCCTCTCTCTTCTTCTCTGTAAAATATCAATAAAATATATATTTTTTTAAAATCGATAAAATATATTTTTTAAAAGAACACAAAAAGTAGAAATTAAATAAATTCATGAGTAAAAGAGTAAATGTATAATCTTGTTTTTAAGCCCATCCTCCCAAAAGCCTGACTGACAGTACAGCACACCTTTGTGATGCAGGTGTGGTCCCGATGCCTGAACACTTTTCTGGAACAGGGAAGGGCCTAAATGAGTAACTAAAAGGGACTTGAGTTAGTGTCCGGGAGCCCGTACCCCGGGTGGAATACTGAGAGGACTGGGTGCTTGTTGATGTATCCGACATTCTCAGGGAGGACTAGAAATCCTTCTTTGGGAAGGAAGGCAGCAGTGTTGTGAACAGCTGATTCCCAGGAACAAGATTAATCTCCATGGTCACAAGAGAACCACAAAACCTTTCTAGGCAAGCAGCTCCCTAGGCTCTTTTTGTTGTAAAGCCTGCACAAAGGGTTCCGAAGAGTCTGCCTTCAGAAAATGATGTAACATTGAAGGCTTTGAACTTGAAATAAGCCTCCCTGGGTCCATTTATCTTCAATTTATT